AAGTAGTTTCAGTTTAAGTACTGTACACTTCATTTACTGCAGCATTGAATATTGTTGCGCAATATAATACCAAGAAAATAATAAACATGACTTTAACAACATTTTTGATAATAAACAATACATTCCAAGCCATAGGAAACACATATGACATGTGTTTGTAACAGCCAAAGAAATAAATCAACAAATACTGTAATACCATAGTCTAAAATATGTTGCTTTCAAATCTACACACATAAACACAGATCTATGTTCTTAATATACACGTAGGCATATAGTACGGTTTTCTAGCGCATGCTAGACAACGCCCCAAGATCTAGACAGCTACAAGTTAATGCAGACGAAATCAATAACCGACTAATGTATTGTTTTGTCTCGAAAAGTATAACAAGCATGGCAATTTTGATAAAATTAAGAGAAAATTGTTAGTTATTGAGGTTTTACAGGCAAGATATAAGTGTAATATGGACGTAGGTATAGTCTTTTAGTTATAAAAATAGCTTGTTTCGACAAAACAACTTGTTTTGTAGAGGTAACGCACATATGTTATTTTGAGGTTAAGTACTAAAACACACGAACAACGAGGATTATTGGCCGTAAATTGCTTATATTCGGTGAAATAAAGATGTTATAAGGTCATAAACTTACCGTAGTTCTTCTCGAAACAGTTTAAAAGCCATTTTTTCAGCGCTTTCAGGACTCTGTCACGAGTTTTCTTCTCGTTTCCAGAAAGTAAGCGTGCAAACTTAATTTCTTGGGCTACAACAAGAACTTGCTCTTTTTTAGGTTTAATTTTAATTTTCTTCTTTACTCTATCCTTCTTTTCTTTAGTTTTTTCAGGGACTTTCATTTTGGTTGCGTGTATTTAGAAAAACAATCGACCACCATGCGACAATCGCGTTTTAAATAATTTGACAACTGCCGTCTGACTTTGACACTATAGAATTGACAGTTAGACGTTTTTAAAGACTGTGTTGTCATTATAAGATTACTTTTTCTAATTAGTACAATTTACAACTGAGTTGTCGTAGTAGTTGTAATAACTTAATAAGTGTTCGGATTCGGGTTCCATTTCAGGTAAAATATCATTGAATATATTCGGTATTACAAATCTTTCACAGTAGTCGCATGGATTCATTATTTAGAATGGAGATTCACCTCCTTTACATAGGACTATGAGATGAGATTTAATGTAACTGGTCATTATTATGCGCATCTTTGTTTACCGCTTCGTGAGTAAAAGGCGTAACGGTGTATAAAAATACAATGCACTTTTAATTTTAACATCTTGACTGCTAATAGAAATACAATGGATCTCGCAATAAAGTTCATTGAGGTCTATTTGTTGAATCACAGTAGCCATTAGAAATTAATGTCGATGATTTGACAGATAGGTGGGCCATTACAAACGTGCGTACTGTCTTATATCCTACCCACACTCACGAAGCACTTCGCATCAAGCTTCCTTGTGCGTACTGCTAAGAAATGGAATTCTTTGCTAGAGTCTGTGTTTCCTGATGGGTATAACCTGGGTATCGTCGGATGATGGAGCACATCGTCCCATAAGCAACCTATTCACTCGGGCCTTGAAGACACCCAGGTTATATCTTTCAAGAAATACAGACTCTGGCAAAGAATTCCACTCCTTAGCCCGCACAAGGAACTCTAATCTCATATTGGAATATGTATAAGAGCAGTGTAAAACAGACTTTTTTTTTTAAATAGTAACGAATGGAGTTTCTTGCTCGTTCTTCTCCATAGGAAGGAATCTACACCTTGGAATGAGCAAATAGCTTCACGTTTAATTTTTTTTTGTCGACGTTCAAAAGTGCCATTCTGGCCTAATTGAAATAAATGATTTTGACTTTGAATGGAGTTTCTTGCTCGTTCTTCTTCACTCGAAATGAGATTTTGGAACGAACGCCTACGTTTCAAAAGTACCAAATTACGGTTTAATTGAAATAAATGCTTTTGAGTTTGAGTTTCTCAACACAAGTTAAGAATAAAACGATTCTCATTAAAAGTATAACATTTTATTAGATTTCATATAAGAATAATTTCGTAGGCACTTTGTATAGCAAACACTTACTAGCCAACAACAACGTACAAACAGCATTATTTACAAATTATTATTATTATATAATTATGTATTTACTTAAGTAACGAATAAAAATAATCTCCATAATTTCATTTTGTTGGAATTTAATACAAAAAGCGCAATAAATAAGAAACATTTTACCTTAAAACTTCCGTGAGACATACTAAATTAATTATTTTCAGCTACTCCCGTAACTGTTTGACGAGGAACTCGACTAGTTTCAAGCCATGTTTTTTTTAAGCGGGGAAAATCATCCAATGACTGCTCCCGCCTGGGTGAGGCGGGAGGGAGTGTCAGACTCTTACTGAATAAAAACCACCCCGTTCCTTCTCCTGCACTTCGAGCCGGAGCCCCGGTAACCCGTTAGGTTCTCCGCGACTCCGTATCGGCATCAGCCCTATTGGGCCCCATCCGTGGTGGTCTGCTGACGGTCTGCTCATTGAGGCGCGCGCGGACGCGCCGTACCCTCGGGTCCACACTCGGGTCTGATTCCGGTCGGGCGACGAGCCACTCATGTCCCGCCATGCTAGAGGCTCATATTATAAGGCGGCGACTGTCGCATTGTTAGACCAGCTTGGCTTGCATTGGCTTGAAACTAGTCGAGTGCCTCGTCAAACAGTTACGTGAGTAAGCCGAAAACATAATAATTAACATTTCACCACAGATATAGATAGAATTTTGCCTTATAATGACGTATATAAATAAGCTGCTTTATTATAAAAAAATGTCGGGGTAAACAATATTTTTACTAAAAATAAACCCACTGTAGCTTATGGTAGAAATTTTTGTTTTCGTTCAAAATCGTATTTTTTTTAATTGACATTAATAATCTATATAGGTATATGTAGTATCATAGATATGGTTAATATTTCTGTGTATAGTATTTTATGAACATTAATAACAAAAAAACTATGTTGAAAAACCGACTTCAACTCTTTCCTTGTAGTCGATTAATTAATATAATAAAACATTCTACTAATTGTAACATACAATTATCTGAAAATCGCATCAAAATCGGTTCAGCCAATCGCGAGATACTCGCGCACATAGATACATACAGGTCAAACCGAGACCCTCAATTACTTGAAGACGGTTAAAAATATCGGCTACTAAGTTCAAAATTTCATTTAATAGACTTTCAACCATATCCTTTGACATTACAGTTGATAATTTATTATCATGTTCAGTGTTCATTGCCAAGAATTTGCTAAATAGAATTTTAACCTTATCAGCTTGGAAATAGAATTGAAAATCGATTAATGGAATTGTATACACATTCCCTTACAAAATATTGACATTCTATTTTTAAATGAAATTAATAAATAATTAACATTGGAATGTTACAATCAAAAGCTGAAGCATTAAGGCGTTTGTTCATACGATTCTAACACTTAACTTAATTATTATAGGTCACATTTTTGCATACACGCGCTAACTAATCAACCTACTTTTATGTGTTGAAGGATTTTCAATCTTATCCCTTTTAGAATAAAGTCGAAAATCCAAATATTAAGTAGGTTTGATTCGGATTTTTTTTTACGTCTCAATGTACATTTATATGTATAGAACTAACATAATCTACCCTTGATCCAAATTTCACTCTGATCCCTTCTAATCACCTGATGGTAAGCAATCGACGTCGCCCATGGACACCTGGACCACCAGAGGCATCACAAGTGCGTTACCGGCCTTTTGGGATATAGTAATTTGAGTATTGTTGGGGATTCGAGGATTGGGGAGACTGGGGAGGGGGAGGGGGAGGGGGATAATTGGGCCTCCGGTAACCTCACTGAGACGACGAAACATAACCTGAGAAGCCTGAGAAGAACCTGAGAAGAAGAGAACCTGAGAGAAGAAGAGAGAACCAAACAACACCTGAGAAGGTAAGCAACCGGCGTCGCCCATGGACACCTGGAACGCCAGAGACGTTACAAGTGCGTTACCGGCATTTTGGAGATATTAGGGATTAGGAGTTTGAGGATTAATGGGGATTCATGGATTGGAGAGATTGGGGTAGGGGGGGGGGGGGGTAATTGGGCCTCCGGTAACCTCACTCACACGACGAAACACAACGCAAGCGTTGCTTCACGTCGGTTTTCTGCTCGGCCGTGGTATCACTCCGGTCGAGCCGGCAATCTTTTGACGTGAATGAGAAGAAACATACAAACAAATTAAAAAATAATTCGCAATTACAATATTAGTAAAGATCTAACTATATGAGCTTTTCTTAATTCATTAATTATTATTAAATAAAAACTTAACTTTAAACTAAAAAAATATTATAACAAAAAACATAATTTAAGCTAAAACTACGACATAACAAAATATAACTAAAATATCTGTTCTATCAAGAAATATAGAAAGTAAGGAGAATTATCTTTTAGAATACATCTATCACCACCGCTACTCTTTCCGCGGGTGTCATATACCCGACTAAAGGACTACACATTAGGCAGAGACCGGGCAGCAGCGCTCTCTGATACACCTGACCTGAACCTTACACTGCGATCTCCAACCTGCCTGCGAATTCGAAAATTATGACAACTCCACTTATGTAGTCATAGGTATATTACATAACAGGGTAAAATTCTTATGATTTTTATTATATTTAGTTAAACCCGTGGTACACTGGAACGTAGATCTACGCGAGACACAATATATTTTCTATTGTGTCTTTTTTTTTTGTGACAAGCCCGCCACACCCTCCCAAAACCGTTGCAACTCCTGTAAGCCAGGATCTACAGTAGATACAACCATGAAAACACCAGAACACTGAAGTCTAACGTCCCAGGGACATGAATAACTGTCTTGGTTCCCGCAACGAAGTGAATCAGAAGATATTATAAGAGGAGAAGAAGAAAAAACTATGGTTTTCACTTCCCTGGGTGAATTACTGCAGGAGACAGAATGAATTAAGCCTAGGCACAAAGAAGAGACTGTACAATTGGGTGAAGCCCAGTCGCCAAGCACCACGGGAATTTGACTAAAAATCTATTGTGTCTATATACCGATACTCAAGAAGTTTTTTTTAAGCGGGGAACAGGGGCGTAGCTAGCTCTGTATCTGCCGTATCAATTATACGGGGCCCCCGGACTACAGGGGCCCCCAACGTGCCTAAGCAAATATTAATAAAAACTTCCCAATTTGTATTCTATTTGTTGACAGAAACTTAAGAAAAATAAAAGTTATTAAGGTTCGCTAATTAGGGCAGAGTTGCGTGAAAAGATTTTCGATTTTCACACAAATAATAAAAATTTTATGTAAAAAGAAGTCTTGTGAGATATGTTTACCCTTCAAGGGTCCCTAAACAAATTTGTATACGCCCCCCCCCCCCAGGGTACGCTACGCCACTGGCGGGGAACATCATCGAATGACTGCTCCCGCCCGGGTGAGGCAGGAGGGAGTGTCAGACTGTCAGACTCTTACTGACTAAAAACCACCCCGTTCCTTCTCCTGCACGTCGAGCCTTCTTCAAGAGGTTAATAGAACTGAACTTCAAAATTCAAGTAAACAGAGATTACAAAACTATTTTAATATTCGGAGCTACCGTTTATAGCATTTAGTCTTCACGAAAGATAATCTTCCTTACCTCTATACTCCATAGAACTAAATGGGGGCTCTATTCTCAGGTGGCGCCAATGTAGTGGATGTTATTGTCCAATCACTGCAGCTGACAAATATTGAACATCCAATGATGTGAGACTAGGTAATTCACTATTGGATGAAAAACGAGAGGGTCACACTAGCGACACCTGGTGAGCATTTACGGTAGGCCCATTAAATACATTATTACACGTTTTTCTTTTAACAAAACTGCCATAGCTACATGTGCCATCTCCGATCTCTCTCTTCTCTTTTTTATTATATAGGCCAATTGCTTCTACCTGATGGTAAGCAATCAGCGCCGCCCATGGATACCCGGAACACTAGAGGAGTTATAATTGCGATGCTAGCTCTTTAGGGGTCAGGGCTTTCAAGATTGGGAATGGGGAATCAGGTTTCTGGTAACCTCACTCACACGGCTCCACACAACGCAAGCGTTGTTTCACATCGGTTTTCTGTGAGGCAGTGGTCGTAACGCCATCTCTTATTAGACTCTCGAACTAATCATCGTCCCCGAACATTGATAGAGGATCTTCAAATACTGGTTCAGTAGGTTTAGCTGGTTCTTTTGTAGCTGTCGTTCTAGCGGGTTGGGGGTTGGGTTCTGTGGGGGGTAAAAATGTTCAAATATATATATCTCATATTTAGGTGTATGGTCGACGTAGAAAATATGGTTTTGAGAATTTAATCAATATACATATTTCAGTATTCGAAATTAATGTCGAGTGCTCGGATAAGTGGTATTCGCGCAAGTTGAGTCTATCCCCGAGATTTGCAAAATATGCTTTGCGAAATATGAAATTAAAAAGAAAAAAATTCTTTATACGACGATTTTCGAGAAACCGAGACAATCCAATACTTTAACATTACGTGACCCAGGAATCGAACCAAAAAGCCCCTGCTCAGCACTCATGACAGCGACTATTCAACCAATAGAGCATTCGTTATTACTAAAATGTTCAAAACAATAAAAAAGTAACTCACCAACAGCCTTCCTCGTCTTAACACCGAACAGATCATCATCATCATCATCATCGCCAAACAAGGATCCCTTCACCACTTCTCTTTTGATCTCCTTCTTAACTTCTACTATCTCTTTCTTTCTCTTCTTATCTCCGAACAAATCTTCTTCACTGTCCGAATCAAATATTGTAGATTTCTTCACAGGCATTTTAGCTTTGAATATTTCATCATCGTCTTCATCACCAAACAGTGATGTTTTATCATTTTTTTTATCAACTTTGCCCACAGTTGTAACTCCCGCTTTTGAGTCTAGACTTTCAACTTTCTGACTAGATTGTACTGGGTTTGTGTTAAAAATGTCTTCGTCGTTCAATATGTAGACGACTTTAGATTTTACATCTTTTGAATAAGGTGGCTTTTCTATATTTTCAACTGTAGTATGTCTAGCATCCTTTGGAGAAGGTGGGTTTGCGATATTTTCAATATGTTTTCCAGGTACTTCAGCTGTGGTTTCTTTGAAATCTTTTGAGGACGAAGTTTTTTCAGTTCTCTCATCTTCAATAATTGGTTGTTTTTCAACATATTTGTCAATAATTTCAGAATTTTCTCTACTTTGAATACTAGATTTTGCAGTATTTAATTCAGCTTGTTCTAATTTTTTGTCTATATTTTCATCCTGTGTTATTGTGGCTTCTTTTTTTTTAGGTATAGTAGTTTTTATTTCTGCAGATTCAAAATGTTTGTTTAGTATCTCATCTTGCGCAATTTCAGGCTGATTTCCTGGCACAATTCTAGGCGTATCATCTATGGAGCTAGAATTATCAGTAGAATCTTCTCCGAAGTCTATAGCTGATTTTCTCACCGCTTCTCTTCTGGCCCTTCTCGTTGAAGGGCGGCGTTTAACCTGAATCTTAGCCCTTTCTTTAGATATTTTATTATCTAATACTCCTGATTCAGGATTTCCATCAAAACTAACAGATTTTATTAATGTAGAATCTGGGTTTTGATCTTCAGTTGCAGGTTTTTTAACGTCTTTTTGACTTTCAGTTTGGGGTTTTGGAAGGTCAGGAAGGATTTTGACTTCTGATCTTTGATTTTGATCTACTACGCTTTGGGTCAGTCCGTCTGTCTGATCATTAGGTTTGACCTTTTTAGGTGATGCGCCAGGTAGGAGCGCGTTAACATTAATATTTAGACCGACTTTTAGTTTTCCAACTTTTTTAGTATCTGTAATCTTTGCTTCTTGTATATTTTCAGCTTTATTTACGATTTCAGTTTTCGCTTTAGTTATTTTGAAAATATCTTCATCTGATTTAGAATTATTAGCTGGTTCCACAGTTTTTATAGGTGAAAATAGTTCGTCATCTGAAGTTTTACTAAGTTCTGAAACTATTTCATGTATAGGTTTACTTTCAGTGACTTTGAATAATTCTTCGTCAGATTTTGAATCTATATCTACTGGCTTGCTATCAACTTTCAGCTTTTCATGTTTCTCAGTACTAAATAATTTATCATCTGAAATTTTTATATTTGATTCTTCAGCTTTTTCAGCTACAAGTATAGGCGTAGGTTTTTGAACTACAGCCGGTTTTGCTTCAGGTTTTTTCGAAAATAGATTATCGTGATCAGAAATATCTAAATTAGGTGTTTCTTTTAAACTAGATTTTGGAATTTCAGGTATTTTGAATAGATTGTCATCATCGTCATTATCTGATAATGAGAATGATTTTGGTTTTTCAAAAACATCATCTTTTCTTTGATCATCGCCAATTTTGGTGTCTTTTAATATTTCTACATGCGCTACTCGATTAAATATATCTTCATTATCTAATTTTGTTTTTTTATCATTTTCGGTGACAATCTCATGAACAGGAAGGGGAGGCAAATTATTGTTAGGAGGTACTTTAGGTTTAGGGGCTGAAGCAAACATGTCATCGTCGTCATCATCATCCTTGATTTTGCCAAATCCATCATCAGGTGGTTCATCAGTAAACAAACCAAATATTCTATCCTGTGTTGGAGTAAAGTCATTCGGATGATCATCAAACACATGTTCATTCTTCTTGAAAAATAGACTCTCATCGTCTGAATCATCATCGAATAACGCGTTGACATTTTTACTCCTTTTCGGTTCTTTTGGTTTTTCAAAAATGGGCGGCTCTGTTACAATATCGTTGAAAATATCTGTTGCTGTGGCTTTTTTATTGTCAGATTCAGTCTTTTCAGGAAATATGTTAGCAGGTTCTGGCGGTTCATCGAAAATTTGTTCAGTATTTTGTTTTTCTTGTGATTTTGTAAAAAGTTCGTCTATATCTGCTTCTAAAGTTGTTTTATCAAAAATATTTTCTTCTATAGGTTTAGGTTTATTATCGTTTGGCGTATTATTACTAGTAGCTGGTTTCGGGGGTAAATCATCGAAATCTTGATCGCTAAAATCATTACTTGACTCAGACGAACTTTGTTCTTTTTGTATATGATCAAATATTCTAGCTGCATTATTGCCGACATTCTTACTAGAGATTTCATTTTTACTATCTATTTTAACATTTTCGTTTAGATCTTTACTTTCTATTTCATCGCCTGTATTATTATTATTTACTTTGATAACATTTTCAGTTATATTATCATTCTTAATACTAAAATTATCAGTTGGAACCGAACTTGATGATGGTTTGTTATAATCATCATCAGTTATTCTATCATTTTTAACTGATAACGTTTTATTGACTGTGATACTAGTATTAACTGCTTTAGCGAAAAGATCACCATCATCAACGTCATCATCATCAAATAAAGATGGACTGTTGAAGACATTTGAAGTATTTTGATTAATTTTTCCATCACCAGCCTTTTCTATATTAACACTTTGTACTTTCGAATCATCATTTACTTTATTTGTTGCCAATTCATTGAACAAATCATCATCATCGTCATCAAATATACTTCTAGTTACTTCTTTATTTGTTCTAGAAGCTTCTACTGCTTTACTTGTTTCTACTTCTTTAGCTTTAGACTTATCATCCGGTTTTGCTTGTAAATTATCGGCAAATAAATCGTCATCGCTATCAAATAAGCTTTTCTTAACACTACTACTGGTAGCCACTTCGATTCTTGCCGGTTTTGGTGGTGCAACCTCTGAGAATAGATCATCGTCATCTTCAAATATAGGTTTTGAGTTTTTATTGTCTTTTTGAGGTACTTTAAGTACGTTAGAAGAAAATATATCATCGATGTCATCAAAAAGATCATCGCTAAACAAATCAACTTTAGTTTTTTCATTCTTATCTTTTTCTGTATCTTTCTTTTGGACTTTATCTTTCAAATCTTTTACTAAATCAGTTTTATCTTTCGTTACTTTCCTGCCTTCGGATCTTGCGAAAAGATCATCGAATATATCTTTTTCTTTTTTAATTTGTTGTCTAGGCTGGGTTTCAGTTTCGCTCTCATCACCGGAGGTTGATTTACGTTGGTTCCGTTTTAAAATGGCGGCTCCTATACTCTCAGTGCCTTTGTTGCCGAACAAGGAAATACCACCGACTGGTTTCTGTGAAAAATGAGATATGATTGTTATGAAAAATGATTATTAAACAATAAAGTGTTCTTAGGGTAATTCTATTGAATTAAGGTTCATATATGTAAGTTAAATTATAAATAAGAAATATACATTAGAAATACATTAGAAAATAAAAAAGCGACAAAATAGTGAACTTTGTCTTATATTCTTTCAATTTCGAAATCCCTCATCTGCATGAATTAAAAAACAAATTAATTTCTATTTTGAAAAATTCTTACATACTCCACCCATCTAGGGGAGTAGGGGAGGGGACCAACTATGGAGACTAAAATAAACCCAAATTTAATCACAAAAGTAAGAAATTATTTTTTTATGGAATAGGAGGCAAACGAGTAGACGTATCACCTGATGGTAAGAAAGACAGGTATAAAGAATCAATGAAAAAAACATTACAATATCAAAAATCTTCATACCTTCACGCCTCTATCCCCATCAGTATCACCAGTTTGCTTCATATCCTGCCTGATATCTAGGCCTTGTTGATTATACGCAGTGTGATCATCATCATCATCATCATAATCGTCGTGATGATCAGGGTGTGATGGCCTTTTTGGGGTCGGAACTGTGGCTTGCATAGGTTTTGTGGGTGGCTAGGGAATAAATATGAAAATTAGTATCTACAGGCACTTCTGCCATCCTCTTCAGGGGTAAAAGGCGTGATGAAAGTGCGCACTATGGCACTTAATGTCCCTGTACTGTGTAACAACCACTTTTCACTATTTATATTATGAGTCCCATGTAATAAGGGGTGAGCATATTGCCATATACCAGGCTAACTGAGATGTTTTTTAAGAAACCCAGTAAATTTTTGCCCAACCCGGGAATCGAACCCGATACCCTTTGCCCGGCAGTCGCACTTACAACCACTCGCTCAACGAGACAGTAAAGTCACTGAAAATAGTTGTCAACACGTCCTCTAGTTGCTCTATTTGCTCGGTACAAGGTGTAAATTTCTATTGAGAAGAACGAGCAAGAAACTCCATAGGTTACTCTTTCAAAATACAAAGATATTAATAAAATGTCTCCCACCTGATACCCAGCACCACTGAACAGGTCCCCATCATCCCTCTGCTGCATCGCACCAGGTCGAGTATCACTGCCAGCCTGGCGATGTATCTCGGCGAATATATCAGAGTCCTGGCTGTCCGAGTGGTCTGATAGAGGAGGCGGCTCGTCGGAGAATATTGTACCTGGGGGATAAAGGGACGAGACGTGACGTAACGAACGATAACATAGCATGACAAGGCGTGACATGACATAAATAATGCGAAACGTTACAATTATAACTAATAACTGTAAAGTCGTGGTCTCATGCTTGAGGCTGCGGGTTCGAAACCTACCAACGGCAAGTACCAATGTGACTTTTTCCGAGTTATATGTACTTTCTAAGATTATTTAGACACCGCTGACAAGACGAACGGTGAAGGAAAACATCGTGAGGAAACCTGGACTTATAATTTCTAATTATAAGTTTGAAATCGCCAACCCGCATTGAGCAAGCGTGGTGATTTAATGCTCAAATCTTCTCCGTGTGAGAAGAAGCTTTGCTCAGCAGTGGCCACTTATAGGCTGTTGATGAATAGTAAAGTATCAATTTACGGTATTTATCACCAAATTTCAAAATCAGGACAGAAATCAGTCGAGTGTTTTATGTTCTCCAGAGGGCGCTAATGTAGAATAAGGTCCTGTTTGCCCAATCACCGTAAATATCAATTAGTTTATTAAGCAAGTGACGTTCGATGTGATCCCACTACGTTATCGATCCTAGCGATAACCTCTCTCATGGTAGCCCTCTATAAACTTAGTCGACTATAAGCTACACCAGCGCCACCTAGGATACGCAGAAATGACAAAAAATTGTAGAATACAATGTATAACATACTGGAGACGGGATCCTGTGGCCGGTAGACCTTCCTGGATGCTGGTTGGGGTGGCTCTTCAGGAGGTGAAGGATCTCTGTCCACCGTCTAGTGATTAAGAAAGAAACACGTCTATAATATATAAAAGAAAGTCGTGTTAGTAACACTATGTATACCTCAAGAACGGCTACATCGATTTGGTTGAAAATTGGTAGGGAGGTAGCTTAGAGGACAGGAGACAGACATGGGATACCTTTTAGCAAATACTTTTTTTTACTTTTTACCGAAAATCACGAACGGGAACGAGATAAAACGGGATTGTTCGTACGAAGTCGCGGGCAGAAGCTAGTTTGTTATAAATTATAATATAGGTCGACAATCGAGCAGACTGATGGTAAACAATCAGCGTCATCCATAGGCAACACTATAAGAGTTACTAGTGCGTTACTGACCTTTTGTTGATTGGAGATTTGAGTTTATGAGGAACTAGTTACTTCCCCGCGGTTTCACCCGCTCTGCTCGGATCCTACTGATCGTAGCGTGATGTTTTATAGCCTATAGCCTTCCTCGATAAATTCAGTATTACAACCATAAAAATAATTATTTCAATGGGATATTAGTAGTTTCAGATAGCGCGTTCAAACGAGGACGAACGAAAAGAATAGGGGAGGACTGATGCTCTCTCATACAGCGAAATACATTTAATTTGTTTCACGTTGGATTTTTTGTGAGGCCGTGATATCACTCACATTGGGGGGGGGGGGGTTACGGTACCATAAAATGGGGTGAATAGATATTGGAAAATTATCTATCATAGTATCTATTCAACTCTCTTCTGTCCCTATTCACCCCAATACACCCGTTATTCAATGCAGCTGCCAAATATTGAATGGCTAATGGTGTAACACCGATTCCCTATTGGACGAAAAGGTTCACCAGCGCCATCTAGTGATAAAAAACGGTAGCTCACATTTTAATTTAGAATCCGGTTTTTATCATAACTATTGAGATTCATGAGACATACTAAATTAACTAAAAAACCAATAGGTAACGCGACATCGCTGCGACCCCGCACGCCGCTCATTAGTAAGAACCCCTGCGTGGTTCGAAACTAGTAGAGGTTTTCTCAGTATACTCACGTGAGTAACCCGCGATTTTTAGTTCATTTAGAAACCTACCTTGTTAGGCAGTGCAGCTCCAAGTCTGCGTGCGATGTCACTGGCGACATCTGACGGCGTGGGCCGCGGTATGGAACCCTGCTCCGATGGTAATGAGGAAGAAGTTTCTGATACCTGGTGAGGAGCAGATTATGTTATTGCTTGGTTTCATCATCGACAGCCAATAAATGCCCACTGCTGACCAAAGGGCTTTTCTCACACGGAGAAGTTTTGAGCATTAATCACCACGCTTGCTCAATGCGGGTTGGCGATTTTAAACTTATATATTATACTGATAAACGGGCAGACGAATCACCTGATGGAAAGCAATCAGCGTTATCATTGACATCTGGAATACTAGAGGCGTAAAATATTTCATAGGAACTGCTACGCGTTACAACTGCATTACCAGCCTTTTGGGGATTAGGAATTTGAGGATGTTTGGGCAATTAGGTATTGGACAGATTGAAATTTGAGGATGTTTGGGCATTCAGGGATTAGAGAGATTGGAGAAGTAAAGAACACTCACACGACGAACGCAACGCTGTGGTTGTTTCTACTACTCGTTGTGTCGTCTTTCTACTAGTTGGCGGAATCACTCCGGTCGAGCCGACCCATTCGTCAAAGTCAAAGTCAAAATCATTTATTTCAGCTCAGTTCATTTAAGTCAAGCTATTTGCTCATTCCAAAGTGTAGATTATTATGGAGAAGAACGAGCAAGAAACTCCATAGGTTACTCTTGTTCAATCGGGATTACAATACAATTCCCTAGTTACCTATTCTCTAGTTAGTGCCGAAGCATGGCTCTCCCATACTTAAGAATGAAAGAATAAACCTCTACTGTCACTGTGTATACTCTGTCGTTTCTTTGTTTTTTTTTCTATATCTATATAAATATGTGTATTTATTTTAATTTTGTATTTTTTCGTATCTGTGTGCGTGCCTACTGTCGAATAAATGTTTTTTCTTTCTTTTCTTTCTTTACAGAATGCTCTTTCCTTCTCGGTGTGAGAAGAGACCTCGACCCAGCAATGTGACAGTTACCAAGTGGTGGTGGGGCGGTGTCGGGCCGAGTGCGGGCGGCGGGGGGCGCGCGTCGCTGTCGGAGTGCGAGTACTGGTCGCTGTCCTCGCCGCGGTCACTCACGGAACTCTCACTGTCCGTCGGCTCCACCACTAGACCTAGGGGGGAAGGGGGTACATAAGTAATTAAAAAAAGACTTGGTAAGAGAGCTATATTTCTACACCAGTGTCCTCAAAAGTTTAAACGGCCTACGAATTTATACTTTATCAAAATAGCGCGACTAGTTTCGAGCTATACCGGAGCCCTAAATATTTTACGTTAACTCTTCTCTCTTGAACAAACATCATTTCCATTTCCCCTTTCCCTCTCTCTTCACTTCCCTTGGTTTATCTCTCTTTCTCCCCCTCTATCTCCAACCTTCTTTTTCTGTCTCTTTTCCTTTCTCTCTCTCCTGCCTTTCCTCTCTTCACATACTTTTCTCTATCTTTCTATCTCTCTCTTCTTCCATCTCTCTCTTTCTCTTCCCCACTCTCATTCTCTCTCCACCTGTCTCAAAATTAGATAAAATACTTGCACGTCTTTTTGTAGTTAGCTTCATAATCAGGATAAGGTAGACCAATATTAGATAAATAAAACATGATAGTATCTCACCAGCATGCCACTTGTTCTTCCACGGCTGCGACCCAATGATGTACGGCAGCGGACGCTCCCAGTACATGTCCTTCGGTTTCAGGACCATCCTGGAATAATAATTGAAATATATTCTGTTGGTGTTGTTTTTCGGTGTTTTTGCATATAGATATAAAGCATTTTAAGATGAGGAACAGTTACATACAGCCTGTGTCCCAGTGGTGGGGGAAGGGGAGGGGGAGCCAGAGACGATGGAACGCGAATTGCTACGATTCCTAGATACCTCTTTCGCTTCATCAACAGTCATCAGTCTTTTCATGCATGCTCGTCGGTTAAGGGTACTTTTAATTTGGCCTTCTTTAATATATCGCCAATCTGCTCAGTATAAGTCCGTCTAGGGCGCCCTCTACCAACGGTCTCATTCATATCCGCTCCGTAAACTTCTTTCGTTACTCTACTTTCATCCATCCTTTCTACATGTCCAAACCAGCGTAACATTCTCTTTTCAATCCTTGTCTCGTTTTTTACTACGTGCATATGAATATAGAGGTAATACGATACAAATACTTTTAAGTGTGGGAGAGTCATGCTTCGGCACGAATGGGCCGGCTCGACCGGAGTGATACCACGGCCGAGCAGAAAACCGACGTGAAGCAACGCTTGCGTTGTGTTTCGTCGTGTGAGTGATGTTACCGAAGGCCCAACTACCCTCCCCTTCCCCAATCTCCCCAATCCCTGAATCCCCAACGATCCTCAAACTCCTAATCCCCAAAAAGCCAGTAACGCACTTGTAACGCCTCTGGTGTTTCAGGTGTCCATGGGCGACACGATTGCTTACCATCAGGTGATCCGTCTGCTCGTTTACCGGCTTATGCCATAAAAAAAAACAAGTACTAAAGTAACATTTTTTACATTTTTTGTCTTCCTGTCTGTTTGTATGTACTAGCTCATCTCTGAAACGACTGGACTGATTTTGACGGGACTTTTATAAAAGTAAAATAGGCTTTATTTTAGAAGAACGCAGACGAAGTTACGGGTATAGTATTAATACTAATGGAATAAGCAAAATTCCCCCATGGTCTTTTTGGTAAAGTGTGGGAGAGCCATGCTTCGGGACGAATGGGCCGGCTCGACCGGAGTGACATCACCGGCGTGAAACAACGCTTGCGTTGTGTTTCGTCGTATACATGATGTTTCCGGAGACCCAATTACCACCCCACCTTCTCAATCCCAGAATCCCCAATAATCCTCAAATTCATAATCCCAAAAGGCCGGTAACGCACTTGTAATGCCTCGCGACGCCGATTGCTTACCATCAGGTGATCCGTCTGCACGTTTACCGGCTTGTCACATAAAAAAATGGCTTAGTACTCACCTAGCGGGCACCTCATCGTCGGTATCGGATTCAGTATCACTGTCCTGCAGTATGGTGATGATCTCGTGTGACTGCTCCAACACTGTTAAACTTCGCTTCAGGCAGGTCAGCTCATCTGGGACTTGCTGTGTCGGAGATTCCTGGTGACAAATAAGCATACAATAGGGTGCTTGGCAGGGTATGAACATTAAAAATCTAATTAGTCCGTCAGTTAGATAATGAAAAAATATTAAACACGTATTGGTTTTATTTTCTCGTATTAAGTTACTTAGATAAAATGGAGTTAAGTTTAGGAGTGGGAGGTCAGAGCGTGCTACAATATGACAGAGGACAACGATTTTTTTTAAGGGGTAAAATCATCGAATGACTCTTCCCGCCTGGGTGAGGCAGGAGGGAGTGTCAGACTCTGACTAACTAAAAACCACCCCGTTTCTTCTCCTGCACGTCGAGCCCCGATAACCATTTTGATAGAAAAGAAAAAATACGTGTCTAATGTTGTAAATTAATCTACCAGACGGACATTCAAATAAAATTTAGGCAACTACCATATTATATTTGGGAACAATCACCTCGCATCGCTCATCCTAAAAGGCCAGCAACGCACTAGTGTTTCAGGTGTCCATGGGCGACGCCGATTGCTTCCCATCAGGTGATCCGTCTGCTCGATGGCACATTAGTAAAGTATTCTTTAGCGTGTGAGAAGTTTTCTGGCCAAGTTATTTTTAGTTTTAGTAACGAACGAATGATATATTTTCTCGTGCATAAGGAGACACTTAACTCGTCGAGTACCGTCATTAAAGACAATTATAAAACAATAGGTTGCGGTCACCGGTGACCGCTTAGTGTTTGACAGTTTAATAGGGTAGATGACTAATTTTTATTTTAATGTCCGTCTGATAGATTATTTTAAATCATTAGACACGTATTTTTTATTTTTTTACAGAGACGCATACTTTCGACGATATATTGACTTGAAATGTCGCGTGACGTCACTTCTATGTACATTCTATACGTAGAAATGACGTATTAGCCCCCACTCTTAAACTTTGATTCGTTTTATCTAAGTATTGTTTTATTATACGACAAAATAAAAAAATACGTGTCTAATATTTTTTCATTACCTAACTTACGGACTAATTGGATTTTTAATTATCATTCCCTGTCGTCATCCCAATTACTTGGGACCCATTAAAATAACTGGTGAAAAGTGATTGTTATATTTTAAAAATAATAACGGTTCCGAAAAACAAATTACTCTCCAGCGATCTGTGGCGAACTATAGAGGTAAAAATGGATCTCCGAATAACAAAACTAAACTTCCGAATATAATATTGAACCTCCGACAAAATTACTAAGTTACAGAGGTTTTTGGTTAAGTTAGACAATCATTAGACTGCCTCGTTGGCCGAGCGGTCGCATGTGCGACTGCTGGGCAAGGGGTCTCGGGTTCGATTCCCGGCTCGGGCAAAGTATTACTAGGTTTTTAAAAATTCTCAGTAGTAGCACGGAGTCTGAAATTGTGCCCGGTATATGGCAGTAGGCTCACCTCCTATTACATGGGACTCATAACATAAATAGTGAAAAGTGGGTGTTACATTGTACAGTGGCATTAAGCGCCGTAATTTGCACCTCTGCCTAGTCCTTCGGGGATAAAAGGCGTGATATTATGTATGTATGTATGTATGTTAGACAAAGCATAGTTTTCAGTAGAACGCAATTTATTCTGGTAAAATAGTATTATAACAATTAACAGTCACGTTAATTTTTCGAAGCTTTCAGTATTTTTAGGTACCCATTACAATTTAATCGTTCGCAGAACAAGACGTGATATTTACATATAGCACTGTCGCTTCATGCATTGGTGTCAATAATTAAAATATCGTTGACCGACTTAACTAAAAAGTGCAGTAATGAGTTTCACACTCCTTTGTGCAGGATGTTGAGTAGGTTACTACCTATAATAGTCCTACTTGTAATGTTTGAGTTTGTATGTCAAAGAAAGTCGCACAATGCAATGATTGTTATAATAATTATCGAGAGACATAGGAAATTAACTAATAGTCGTGGGTTACTCACGTGAATGTACTGAGAAAAGATCTACTTCTCCGGGACACATACTTATGCAAAATATCGTCACTAACAGTCCAGTAGTGTCCCTCTCAGTTGATAATGATGAATGGTCCTTACCTTGGCAGCAGGGGGTTCCGTGGTGAGGTCATCGTCATCATACACTCTGCTCTCTATGAACTGACTGCTGCTTAGCGACATAAACCTGGAAACAACACATGTATGTTTAATAAATGTAATTTATAATATCTTACTTAATATAATACTTAAGTGTGGGAGAGCTATGCATCGGTATGAATGGGCCGGCTCGACCGGAGTGACATCACAGACGAGCAAAAGACCGGCGTGAAACAACGCTTGCGTTGTGTTTCGTCGTGTGAGTGAGGTTACCGCATGCCCAACTACCTGGCTGAAGGGATCGGGATGAAATTTGGAACAGGGATAGATTATGGTCTGGAATAACACATAGGCATTTTATCACATGGGAACGCGGGCAAAACCGCTGGCAGAATATAGGACTCATAACATAAATAGTGAAAAGTGGGTGTTAAATTGTATAGTGACAGTAAGTGCCGTAATGTGCACCTCTGCCAACCCCTTCGAGGATAAAAGGCGTGATAGTATGTTATGTTTACTTAGAAGAAATTAAGAACAGAAAAACCATTTCGAAAATCTTACATAAGAATGTAATAATAAGAATAAAATAAAATCTAAAAACCTAATACAAAGGTGGTTCACGTTCGGAGAAACCTAATTACAAATTATAATTTCACCGAGAGGCATGGAGTGTGAAGTTTGGTCGGACATTCACTTTGGAAATCTATGTTTAAGTACGTAGCTAAATTATAATTAATTTTGTATGAGTTCGCTAATCCTTCGTTCAGATGACTTGGAAATATAAAACGATTTAGAACTTTCTAGTTAGATTTTCTCCTGTGTCGTGGGTGCGTTTACAAACATAGATGGTCGTAAACGAGCAGATCACCTGATGGTAAGCAATCGGCGTCGCCCATGGGCACCCGGAATACCAGAGGCGTTACAAGTGCGTTACCGGCCTTTTGGGGATTAGGACTTTGAGGAATGTTGGGGATTCGGGAGATTGGAGATGGACAGGGGACAAAATGCTTGATGATGATACGTCTTCATCTTCATATTCTTTAATTTGTTATATTTGTGTAAGTGAGGTTACCGGCAGGCCGGCAGCCCAATCTCCCCAAATCCTTGATCTCCAAATCCCTAACAGGTCGACAACGCACTAGTAACTCCTCCAGTGTTGCGGGCGTCCGTGGACAGCGCTAATTGCTTACCATCTAATACTATAAACTATTTTTTTTTTCTCTTTATTTTTTTAGGAATTTTTATACATTACAGTATATGCCAATTCCATCGTAACTTTAACTGTCAAACACCGCGCGGTCACCGGTGACCGCAACCTATTGTTCTTTAATTGTGTCTACAAAACCGGTACTCGACGAGTTAATAACAGCAATAAAAAATACCTTAACATTAACTTAACATACCTAGACAATATACTTAAAGAAAGTAATAAAAAACTATAAACTATTAGAACATGTAACTCACTGGTTATTGACATTCTGCAGGCTGATGCTGGCATCATTCAGAGCGGTGGCCATCTTCTCCAGCTGGCTGTTCGCCTCCTGACATCGGGACAGCAGTTTCTGGAAACAGAACCCTCATTACATCTAACAAGTGACTTGTATATTTGCTTGGAAAGAGTCCTGAAATACAAAACTAACTAGCGCTCATCTCGGGTCCTATTGATCGTAGGCTATATAAATGCTTTTGGTGAAAAGAAACAAAATAAAATATGTATATGTTGACCAGCTGATCCGGCAAACTCTGTACCGCCTAAATTGTTTTCAACCTTCCCGGGACTTCCACTACCATTCCAAGACCAAAATTAGCAGAGATGGATGCATATACAATGTGACAGACAGTTCACACCAGTTCAGGCATGAATTCCACATTATTGTGAAATCAACTGCACTTTTTAATAGAAATTCAGGTGTACTTTTGCCATTAACTATTCCCATAGTTTTACCGTGCACCATCTGCATAGTGGAGTAGTACGAACACGGCCTATGAGTAACACAATACATTGACTTCCGTTACCAATAACTTTAGGAGTCCCATTCTATTAGGGGACATGTTTAGTGGCACAGATCGGCCACAAGTGAACATAAGACACAGATTGGGTACTTGTACTGAGTCAAATTCAATACTTTTTTCGAACTGTCAAAAACGACAGTTCTCTATGAATTTTGTACGAGATTGTGTATTGTGACGTCAAGATTGTATAGCGTCAAACAGCGTACTTATTTTTTAAGAATTTGCTGGATAATACTAAAGTGAAGTTGGTCGTAAAATCAAGTAATGAAAGTGTTATTCTTTTTTAATATTTTATTGTATTGATCAGTCGAAATAATTCATTTTTGATTAATGAAAGTGCCCAATTACGTAGTGGCTTCGGAACCGACTGTCACACGATGTTTTTAGGGATCAATTACTGAACTACTATATATGAAAGTCCACCAACGAGGCAGGAGATAATACGGACTGCATATTTAGCGTGATGGCTGCAAAATCCACTTTTGTATCACATTTCGAGAGCTTGGTGCCCGAACAAAGTAATCCTACGAGTGATCAACAAATTATTGCTCCATAATCCTCAAACTCTTAACTAATCCCCGAATCCCCCATAGTCCTCAAACTCATAATTCCCAAAAGGCCGAGAACGCACTTGTTACGCCTCTGGTGTTTTGGGTATCCATGAGCGACGCCGATTGCTTACCATCAGGTGATCTGTGTGCCCGTTTACGGGTTTATCCCATAAAAAAGGACCCGAGACCCCTTGCCCGGCAGTCGCACTTGCGACCACTCGGCCAACGAGGCAGTCATTCATAATAGTCTAATAATAATACCATTACGTAATAATACATCATTAATAACTGTATACACGAGAGGTAGAAAGGGAAAACAAGAGGAAATTCACAATTAATATTTATTAAATTACAATAAGTGCATTCAGCGGTTGAATGTTGACCGCAATCAGGAATATTGTATATTAACATTTTGTAACATACAATATGAAACGATTTGTACCTACGCTACGTTCCTTCCTTGCGTACATTTTAACTATAGCAAAAGTTGGCATAAATTCATGTCCTGATTACATTTAACTAATATTTGATTATCTTATACTATTATGTAAAGCGGAAGAGTTTGTTTTTTTTGTTTGAACGCGTTAATCTCCGTAACTACAATTCTGATTTGAATAATTCTTTTTGTGTTGGATAGCGCATTTATCGAGGGTGGCTATAGGCTATAAAACATCACGCTACGATCAGTAAGAGCCGAGCAGAGCGATTGAAACCACGCGGCGATATCAACCATGGCGATTACGGCATACTATCAGGGACAGGTCTTTATCAAGCAGCCTTTACCTAGGATATACAAACTGCTTTCTCTTTTAGCGAATACAAAGCGTAATCTATACTAGTCTATACTAATATTATAAAGAGGAAAGATTTGTATTTTTGTATGTTTGTAATGAATAAACTCAAAAACTACTGGACCGATTGCAATAATTTTTAACACCATTAGAAAGCTGCATTATTCAGAAGTAACATAGGCTATATAATATCACGCTAGGTCCTATAGTTGTGGAGCAGTAACCAAAAATGTTTTAAAAACGGGGGAAAAGTATCGTTTCTGAGGCCTTCCGTGGCGTGCGCTGAGCATATAGTTAAAGTTATACAAAAATGCTCTATAGATGAATTGTTCATAAATAAATGGAATAAGTAAATGAAGTCCGGAAAAATATTTTCAAAAGATAAATACTTCCTAAATAAAAAAAACTGAGAATATATTATATAAATAAAACGTAAAACTATGTAAAAAATCTTAAGTCCCCCCGTGCGAAGCCGGGACGGGCCGCTAGTGTTATGATAATATTATGTGCGAAAAATATTGCAGACAGGATTAACACGAACATATTATGAACATACAGAATTACAGATAACAATGTTTATTTTATTTGTTATCTATTTGATTGGCTAACATGACACAGAGCATCCTTTTTTAATAACTCTTTTATCTAAATTACTAACAATGCCGTGCGGTTTTACTTATAGTTATAGTACAAACGGATCGCCTGATGGTAAGCAGTCAAAGCGGCCAAAGGACACCCGCAACACTAGAGGAGGTGAGGTTTAAACGTTTGAATGTACCGAATCACGAGACAGAATAGAAAATACATTGTGCGTCGTGTGGATCCGCGTTTAGACACACGACACGGGTTAAGTGTGGGAGAGCCATGCTTCGGCACGAATGGGCCGGCTCGACCGCAGTGATACCACCAACGAGCAATACACCACGTCGTGTGAGTGAGGTTACCGGAGGCCCAATTACCTCCCCTCCCCCTTTCCCAATCCCTGAATCCCCAACAATCCTCAAATTCTAATTCCAAAAATGCCGGTAACGCACTTGTAACGCCTCTAGTGTTCCAGGTGTCCATGGGCGACGCCGATTGCTTACCATCAGGTGATCCGTCTGCTCGTTTACCGGCTTATGCAACGGGTCTGCAGTAATCTCACTCACACGGCTGCAAACAACGCTGTGGTAGCGTCACAACGTTGTACTGTGAGGTCGTGGTATCACTCCGGTCGAGGCCTCACATGTGAATCTCAAAAGAATACAACCTGGGTAGCTTCAACGTCCGAGTAAATTAAGTTCTACTCCATCGAAGTCCGCATCATCGCTTACCACCAGGCGAGAATTTCATACAAAAATATTAAGTATTGAATATTACCTGATGTGTAGACTGCAGTATGTTGAGGAGCTGCTCATCTCCGGCCAGGGTCCAGTTTGGAGCCAGCTTCCTTAAGGAGTCAGTGGTAGACTCATCCATGTTGCGGGCTTAACTACTGCAATAAACATTAATATATTAAATACAACACTTTAACAATTATGTCACGGATGTGGTTGGAGACGAGAGAGTGGCGACGTCTCACATCAAACTGGCTTAACTGACATTAATTCACATGAATGAGCCATGGAAATCTAGATTTAGAACCTTTGTCTTGTAATATTATATATTTTTATTTTGTTTATAGGTATATTGTTCAAACACTCATTTAGAAATTATGTTAAACATTCATAAAAGCTATTGTAGAATGTTCTTAGGATGCACAATAAGGAATGATATGCATAAATATAAATGTATAAGTTATCAATGGTTGTTAGTTTTTATTTGTTTGTTTTGTTAATCTAAGAATATATATTTTTATTTTAAATACATTCATGTACTTTCTAGTGTACAAGGTAGGTTTAATGCCATGGGCATTCCGTTCCAGCCAGACCTTTGGGTGATGCAGAGACAAAAATGATGCAAGAAGCAAGCACACTTGAGATCTAAGATCGAAAGAATTATATAAAAAATCAATTGTATAATTATTAGTACAGTATTAATGAATATACATATTTTTTAACTAAGGATAGTCTCCTGCGTCGTGTGTGCGTTTACAAACATACAACCGGACGTAACACAGACACGGAACAACAATTTGTGGATCAGGCAAAGAGTTGTTCCGTGGGGGAATTGGTTGCGATACATGTTGCACGGCACCTGGTTGCCCACTCACCACACCAATTATGAAAACAAGTCTTTAGTCTATCCATATGTAGGTAAGTACAGAATGCAAGAAAAGTTATTGGATCTGAAGAGAAATTGGGTAGCTTCCTGAATTTTGTTTTAATGTCCGTCTGTTAGATTAACCCGTTGATATCCATCCCCTAAATTTGATCATACAAAAGTATTCTCTAAACATTAGAAATAAGGTCTATAATGTAATGTAATATTATTAGTGGAAAGCGGTCACCGGTGACCGCTTGGGGATTTATGGGTTAATTTAAAACCTTACACAAGTTTGTTCCTATATGAAATATTGTGTAATGTCCCAGTGTTACATTTTGTAGCATGTTGTGACGTAACAACCTTCCACTACTAAACTTAACACCATTTTGTCAAAGTATTGTAACTTTATACAATAAAATAAAAAAATACATGTCTAATATTTTTTTATTATCTATCTGATGGACTAATTTGGTTTTTAATTTTCATACCCTGGCAACTTCCCCAATGGTAATATTTCAAATTATATTTGGATAAGTCCGCTTCTCGACACCATTACAACTCTTATGCCCCAGGATCTACAATAGATACAACCATGCAAACACTGGAACACTTGAAGTCCAACATCCCAGGGACATGGAAAACTGTCTTGTATCCGGTAATGAAATAAATCAGAAGATATTATTAGAGGAAAATATATTTAAAATACTAAACACTCTTAAACTGTCAAACACCGCGAGGACACCGGTGACCGCAACCTATTGTTCTATAATTGTGTCTATAATGACGGTACTCAATGAGTTAATAAAAACAAAAAAATAATTATGTATTTATTTATTTATTAACTCTCAAAATAAAGTACATAAGGCGGTTCTTCCAGTCAACCTATGTCTGTAAGTCAAAATATGATACACATGCCTCAATAACATTTTTTAAATTTTTGTCTGTCTGTCTGTCTGTCTGTTTGTATTGGCTACACTGGTATAGCTGGACCAATTTTGATAGGACTTTTATTGGCAGGTAACTGATGTATTAACAAGTAATGAAGTAACATAGGCTACTTTTATTTTGAAAAATGAAACAAAAAAAGTTATGTTCTAAAATTTATATTCTATGTGGACAAAGTCGAGGCCAACAGCTAGTACAGTGACTTACTTGACTTAATAAGTACCTAAGTAAGTTTATAATATATATTTCTATAACAATAAATATTCAAGTGGATAATATTCAGTTACATCAAACCACAACTTTGTAAGCTAATATAACTACTCAAATAAAATACCTACTGCATATAATTATCATTGAACATTGAGCAACATTCCTCTGAACATCACAACACAGTTTTCGACTCAAATAAAATGTAATATCGCAATGAAAATGTCTAAATTAAAAAGGTCAATATATTTGTCTGAATAATCAGTTACGAGTCAAAACTTCAATTGAATATTAAAGGTGAATCACAGCACTGAATTGAGATAAAATAACAAGCGACCGCGAATCTAATAAACACAATAATCAACATAAATTATACACTCAATGATCGCCAATTTGTATTTAAACTTTCAATTATTAAAAACTCACCGTTATAAAGTAATACACGAATTTCACATCACTGGTAAATAGTTTAAAGAGTTGTTTTGTTGTGTGAAACTTTCTATATTGAAATAAATAAGGTTTTCTTATTTACTTTTAACAGAAATAAAAGTGACGAGAGTGATCAACAAAAAATATTATGACAATAATGACATGACTGGTGACATGCCAGTCAGCGGTTATTGACAGTGACAGTTGTGGTGTTGCTACATTATGCGTCACAAATTCCTACTCAGTAGCTTTTCTTGAAAGTATTTTCAACTGATTCCAAATAAGCTGGCCTTAAAAGGAATTTTAAAAGAACAATTTTTAACCTAATTCGAATTATAATTAAATATCCGAGTATGAATGAAGAACTTAAACTACACAATTCAGTAACACTTTTAAACAATTGAAGGCACCACTGAAACGTAAAAGATAAAAGTATTCGTTGAATTCATGTTGAACTACAGAAAATACAGATAAGAAATGCAAACTCTTTAATTTAGAAGTAACACATTGTTTTGAATATGTGATGCAATCTGGAACGTAAACAAGTACAAATGATTTAGTATTTACCTACATTTAAAGAAAAATGTAAATAAACAAATATTGTTAAATCAATCTTATTTCTACAAGATTCATAAAATGAAAGTGTTTACATTAAATATCGTAAATGCTTATACTTTCAGAGAATAATAAAAGACAGTTGATGTTTGCAGATCCAGTTTTTAAAAATCAATAAACTTTCATTTTCGTTACAATAACAAACATGATCACATCACGATGTTTAATAATAACATTATTACTCATAAAACAATGTTTATTAACGCTCACCACACTGTTATACAGTTAAACTTTTTCTACTTTCACGTAAAGAGGTGTAAATATTAATGCGTACAGCCAATTATTTTTTATTACCTCTCGAATTAAATGGTAACAGTTAATTTGAAATTAATGATGTTGCTAATATTATATTGCAGAAATTAAATTAAGCTTGATTTATGAACACTAATTAAATCTTAATAGGTACAATATAGGTGGATATCATCTTCAAAGTCAAAGTCAAAGTGGATAATTATACTCACTATGCTGTCGCACTCACTTTAGTCATTTTAGTGACGATATTGTTTTAAAACCACTGATAAGGAGGTCAACTTTAAACACTGGCAAGCACTCATTCAACAACAAACCACCAGCCTATCACCACGCCTGGCGGATTGATGATTTCAAACTTATAATTCGAGATTTCCTTACTATGTTTTCCTTCACTTTTGTCAGTGATGTCTGAATAATCCTTATTAATATTATAAATCAGAAAGTGAGTTTGTTTGTTCCGCTTTCACGCCGTAACTACTTAACCGATTGCTTTGATTTTTTGCAGAAGTAAAGTTAGAAGTCCGAATTAAATAATAGGGTACTTTTTATCCCGGAAAAATTGATATTCCCGAGGGAAAACAAAAGTATTGGTATAGATGGCGCTGTGTGTATTAGTTTATGTCACATAGGCTACTTTATGTCCTTTTGTGATGCGAGCGAAGTCGCGGGTAAAAGCTAGTACTAAGTAATAAATCTTAGAAGGTGCATATGACTTGGAACAGATACATTGATACTTGCCGTTGATAGGTTTCGAGCCTGCACCTTCATGCATTAGAAGCGGGCGTCATAAACCTCCGGGCCACCACGGGAAGCACAGGGAAAGTCCAAAATTATAATAAAAAAATATTATTAGTTAGTGTTTATGTATTCAGATAAAGTAAAATTATTCATGCCTAAGTATGCAGGCACAGAAAAACTGAGAATCTAAATAAGTGCGAGTATTTCCTGCGACTTGTCGTGAAGGAAGTCGGCACAAAAATAAATTGCAATGTAAATGGAGGTACTCTGTGTACCTAAGTTTACAGTTAGAATATGGTTCGTGCTTTTTTGAGAAATATCTCTATAAAATTTATTCTATTAAAAACCTGGTTCAACCGCCTCATTTTCTTAATTTCATTAACGTATTAATGCAAATAAAAAATATCTTTATCTAAACCCTTCTCCTAAGTGAATGTAACAGTTACTTTTCTGAAACCGCATCAAAATTGGTTCAGCCAATCGCGAGATATTCGCACACAAACATGTGTACTTATGAAATTACTAGTCACTTTGACTAGATTTTAGTGTATACAGCAAACTATGTAACTAGAGAATTGTATTGTAATCCCGATTGAAAATGAGTAACGTATGGAGTTTCTTGCTCGTTCTTCTCCATAGGAAGGAATCTACACCTTGGAATGAGCAAATAGCTTCACATTTAATTTTATTTTTGACGTCCAAAAAAATCTTACGGGAACGGGAGAAAACGAGATAGCGCGTACGAAGTCGCGGGCAGAAGCTAGTTTGTAAATACAAATATCTAATGAGATGCACATGTAGTGATGATAGTAATAATGACACCTATGTATTGTGTACAATTGAAAATATTATAAAAAATATTTATTTTCCACTTAAATGTCTCTGGTAAAGGTCTGCGAGCCGCTGTACGCAGGTCGCTCCCAACCTCGCGATGTGTAGTCATTAGAGGAGGACTGTGGGAGGCAGTGGACAGAACGTGGCTAATATGTGCATGACACCACAGATAATCCATTAAAAGAAAAAGTATTTTAAAAATAATAAAAATACCCTTATTGTTTATTTGTTAGAATATTGTTACAAAGGCGTTACAAATAAATTAATGTTCTGAATATTCTGCTGTTCCCAGCGTACAAATATATTAAAAATTAAATTAAAAGACTCATACAAGGAACTCATTTAAGTGTGGGAGAGCCATGCATCGGTATGAATGGGCCGCCTCGACCGGAGTGATACCACGGCCTCACAGAAAACCGACGTGAAGCAACGCTTGCGTTGTGTTTCGTCGTGTGAGTGAGGTTACCGGAGGCCCAATTACCCTCCCCTTCCCCAATCTCCCCAATCCCTGAATCCCCAACGATCCTCAAACTCCTAATCCCCAAAATGCCGGTAACGCACTTGTAACGCCTCTGGTGTTCCAGGTGTCCATGGGCGACGCCGATTGCTTACCATCAGGTGATACGTCTGCTCGTTTACCGGTCTATGCCATAAAAAAAAAACAATTTCTCCAGAAACCTTTGTCGACATAAACCAGTTTTATCTACAAGTCATCGCGTAAACTTAATTAGTAATTAATTGTATACGAACACCAAGGTGAGTGGTAATCATTTAATCAATAAGTTAGGAAGTAAGCTTGCAACTCTCTCACGGCGTCGGTCGGCGGCCGAAAGTTTTACTCGACAATGCAAAGGTGAACGATTGACGATTATTGCTTGTGGACTGAGCTAAGAGCGGAGAGCGGAGTTTAAGAATAGGGACGATGACAGGGTATCAAAACTAAAAATATAATTAGTCCGTAAGTAAGGTAATGAAAAAATATTAGCCACGTATTTTTTTTATTTTATCGTATAATAAAACAATACTTAGATAAAACGAATGAAAGTTTAGGAGTGGGGGCTAAAACGTCATTTCTACGTATAAAATGTACATAGAAGTGACGTCACGCGACATTTCAAATCAATATATCGTCGAAAGTATTCGTTTCTGTAAGAAAATAAAAAATACCTGTCTAATGATTTAAAATAAGGTACCAGAGGGACATTTAAAAATAAAAATTAGGCATCTACCCTATTGCGATGTTAGCACATCAAATACGTTTTAAAGATACAATCGATAAAGTAGGAATCCAACCAAAAACATTCTGTAAAAATCTAGTTTCGATGGAGCCGCTTGTTCATCTCTAAAAAGTAATGAAATCTAGACAAATGGAGTTTCTTGCTCGTTCTTTTCCATTCGAATGTACATTTTAGAATTAGTACCTAGCTTCACCTAGCTTCACTAACGAACTGATTGACAGACTATTATTTATATTGTATTAATTTATTGACATTTCAAAAGTACCAAATTATGGTTTAATTGAAATAAATGCTTTGACTTTGACAAAGTCGTGCCAAGTCTAACGTTCTTACTGCGATTTCTATATTATTATAGTAAATGGTGGCCGTTGAACCGCTACCCATTGTAGATGGAAAATTTCCACTAGGATAAAGTTGATTGTATGAGCAACGGTTCTGGCGACATTTTGGTACAATGGTGTCTGGTTTTGCACCCTTGTGTACCCTTCAACGGCTTATTAGTTAAACTTATTAGACTAATTAAAGCTCTTACAAAGTATTTAAAAGTCGGTCAGTGGGCTTAGCTAGATTTTCTTTTACGTTTAATGCGATCGAAAGAAGATCTCGTCTGGCGCTTTTATTGGTTGGGTCATTGGAACCGGCCTTTGGAGATTCTTATGTGGAGAACAAGCAAGACACCCTATCATTATTATTTTTCACAATACAACTATTATAGATAAATAAAATAGGAGTGTCTGTTTCTGTTTGTAATACTAAAATAACCGCTTTTTACTAAATGCTTATGAATATATACGATACACATAACAAAATATATTTTTTTACAATTTTTGTCTGTCTCTCTGTTTGTACCGGCTAATCTCTGGGTTGGCTGGAACGATTTTGCAAGACTTTTATTGGCAGGTAGCTGATGTACTAAGGAGTAACATAGACTACTTTTATTTTGGAAAATTGAAACAAAAAACTTATGTTCTAAAATTAATATTCTACGCATAACGCAGATGAAGTCGCGGGAAATATTTATAACCAACTAGCTGTTTTTACATAACATTGCATTATTATGCATCTTAAGTTATCTAATTCAATTATGTGAGAACAATGTAACATCAGCATTCAATCAAAGAGACTGACAAAAATGTAACCTAAATGACAATAAATTAATATATTTTAGAGCTGACCACTCAAGGTGACAAATTCTCATAGAGTTCTTTCATCACGGAAACTATTCAAAGATAACACAGTTCCTTGAATAGTTTGAGAACACTTAAAACTCATTGCCGTTCCTAATCCTATTCTAGGGGCACAGTACCATCCTTCAGGTGACACAACAGTAAATAATAATAAAGAAACCGCAGTGAGGAACCCTAGACTTGGCACGACTTTATCAAGATTTAATTACTTTTTAGAGATGAACGAGCGACTCCATCGAGACTTGGCTAGTTTCTTACACAATGTTTTTGGTT